CTGCATATAAAGTACCTGCCTTCTGTAACTGACTATCTTAGAAAAGCTGAACAATGTTTAACATTACGGCAATTTTTAGTGGATTTAAAGTGTTCTAATCTTTTTCCATCGCGAACGATGTAGATCTGACCTATTTTCTTAAATCTCGTAATTAATTAGGCTGTGCGAGCTGAGGTACAAAAGAGATTACCCAAGGAGTGGTCCGAAGAAGAAATCTCCCAGCTTACAGAACTTTGGACACAGCTCAAAGATGATGATGGTAATTTTTTAAATTTATTTTCTTCAAGCCAATTTCTGATTAATATTTTCTTATTTTCTTATTTTATTTTCTTATAATATTTTCTTATTTTCTTATTTTATTTTCTTAAATTTGATCGGATGATTAGTATTTTCCTTTATTTCTTCATTTTTTTTTGATCAGTCAGTATTTAATGCCGTTAAATAATTATCATTAAAATTAATAGCAGTTATTAATTATGGCTAACTGGAACAACAATGAAGTTTATAACTCAATGGCGGTGATATAAATTTCTCGAGTGTCTGGTGGCACGTTGTATAATTGCCATTTATCGTAATTTGTTTTGTAATTTATCTGCGAATCATATGCGCCAAAAATGCGCCTTAACCTAATTCCCGATATAAATTTTCGCGATAGAAATTCGCCGTAAATTTCAGCGTTAATTCTAACCGGTTATTCGCGTTCCGAAACTGTTGAAATATTTCGCGAATGCGAAATTCGTGCGAGAATTCGTTAACACCGGAACGATTCCTAGGATTTAATTAAGCTCCGAACATCGGACACGCTTGGCTGCTTGTAGTAATAATTTCGAATCCGCTGGGACGAACGAAGAATAATATCCTTCTTGACAGAGACATTTTCAGAGAAGTCTTGTAAAACTTGTTTCATTTTCATACGAATCCGCCGCTCTCCATAACTTTTAATCTGCGAAGTCGCTTCCACGCCAGGCGTAATTCTCAGATGTCCACGAAATGTCAAGGGCATTTTTCTTCGCCTCCCTTCAAAAATTTCCGCAAAGTGTTTTATTTTACCGTGTTCTTACTTCGCGGTTGTTAACCTTAGAACTCCCAACGGGCGCAGACAAAAGTATTCACAAAAATGTCACATCGTAAGGGAGAGATAATTCTTTCTTAAATTGAATTGAATTTATTCCATTTATACGATAAATCTCCTGAAGACACACGAAAGCTTACGTTTAATACCACAACTGCGTTTATGCGTAAAGTACCTTATAATCTGTCGAGAAGTCGAATCGTAAATCCGTAAAGAGCGATATTCCAATTGACTTATAAATACATTTCGTCGACGTGAAATAAAGTTCGTCTCTTCGGATAAAGTCCGCCCGTGTTCCTCCGTAAGCTCTAATTGATTTAAGTTTAAATCCCTTCAAAATCTCCGACAGTCGTCTCGATCTCCCCTCGCGTGCGATTCTCCCATGAAGCCGCCCTATCATTCGCGCCGCACAGCTTTCTCTGACGACGCTATAAAAATCGAAACTACACTATGTCCCCGACAGATCCCGTGGATTTGATTTTCACCGGTCTTAGAATAAAGCGGCCGAAGCCGAAGATCAAGGAGAAGCTTCTGGAATTAGGATTGGCGCGGGATCGCAAGGAGCTGCGCAAAAAGCGGGCCAGAAAAAGCAACCAGGGTGAGTATACCTATTCGTTCTTCCTCCCTCATCACGATCCGGTCTGGAGCATCCCTTGTTCCCGGCCAATCCCATTCCATTCCTTTCGCATCTGTCTTTCTTACTATCCTCCGATTCCGCGACTATTCCCATTCGATCAGTCTTCTAGTAACGCGATTGCCGGCGACTGCATAGAGCGACTCGCTTTCAACGGGGAAAACGAAACGACGTGGGCATAGAGAGAGAGAGAGAGAGAGAGAGAGAACGCGGGGGAGGAAGTGAGAAGGAGAGTAAAAAGATCAATTTGTACAGGATTCTTCTCGCTCTCCTATCCTCGATTTCTTACGGACTGGGGAAGGGAAAAAAAAAACCTTTCGTCGATATTACCAGCGGAGACAAGTCCGCTCGTATGTTTGCAAGATCATTTCTGTTTTCCTCCTTTATTTCTCGAGAGTGAACCGAACGCGATTCTGCGACAATTTTTATCCGTGTCTGCGAATTGTTCTAGTTTATAGTGTCATATTCCAACGTTATACATAATACATGGAGCAAAACGTTAAACTGCGCAGCTTTAATTAATATTTCCTAAAATATTGATTTTAACACGAAATGTTTCAACTATGAGCAAAGCATACTAGTTTACAAATTCAGATATCCAAATATGCAATTTCCAGAATACGCATGACACGCATATTTGTGTCTTTTTATTAAATTATTAGGGTATTTACATTCCTATTTGTGTTCTATATTCAGCAATTTTCGCGATAGAAATTATTATAAAATCGGAATGCGCTATTAACCGAATACTATTTTGGTGGTTTAAATTTATCGAATCGCCAAACATTTATGCCACATGGTATTCCGCAATCGTGTAACAGATAATATAATCATTCTTTAAAATATTATCACGTACATTTATATACAGTTAAAATAATAAAATGTTTCACACAGTTCCTAGTGTATCGGATTTAACAAATAGTTCGCAAAATATTTTTATACTGAATTTAGAATGCAATATATTTTTCCCGTTACAAAACGTAAAATACGAGAACAAATTATAAGTTAGTAACGAATTATAGTAGACATTCATTATTATACGCTATCCAATTTTTTATGAATTAAATATAAAGATCGAGCATATTTCTACATTCCTCTTTTTTTTGTATAAACAAAATGCTATTCTCTTAATTTCTCAAGCAAATTTGTGTTCCAATCTAATTTTCGAAATGCTCGAAATAATATTTATCTCTCTCCTTTTATTTTCGTTGTCTATATTTGAAGTCTATAACGATATCATCACGGAATATCAATCTTGTTATTTAATATCGGCTGCGAATTCCAGCCGCACTTTCGCCGCTCTTGGACCAATATCACTCGCTTTAGCTTCCTATTATGGTGCCGGAAGGAATTTCATATTTATCATGGATATTGTTTTCCTCTCTCATGCCCCTTATTTGTATTCAATGCATTGAGATAGCTCATATCATAGATATACAGCTGTGAGATGAAGCATTGCCGAGAAGTTTTGGTTCACCTTATGTGTCTTTGAAATAATATTTTTCCTCAATGTCGTGTTTTGATGCAATTTCGCTATCCTATAAAAGATTCGATTTCTCTGTGGTGGAATATGCGTAATTAATATTCTGAGTCTGCGCGTGTCATCTCAAGATATCAAGTATATCTTTTTTAAAATATATATTGTACAAGCAAGACACATCTTATTTATGTCAGAATATCTAAATGCAAATTATTCACGTAACAATACAAATACATCTGTCTTTCTCCATCTATTAAAATTTGTACAGAGAAATATTAAATTCAACATTGTGTTAAATTTAAAACTGGTACGTGACAAGGATTGCGATGTAGATCCCTCGATCAGATAAACTTATAAATTTAGATCGCATGAGATTACAAATTTTAAAATCACGTGACTCTTTCGCGTGAGAGAAAGTAGAAAAAAAAAGTGAAAGCATATGAAAATTCGTCATTCGGTGTTATAGATTTTTGTATGCTCCTTAATATCATATATCATGCTCGAGATTTATTTAATGTTACGTGAAATATCTCGCGTATACACGCGTGTGCGACATTGCACGGCGCGCTTTACACGCTGATGAGCGCTCGCTCGGGAAGGGTTCACATCGTTTCCATGCATTGTGCGCAAAGGTAAATCGTCGTGGGAAACGCAAGCTGCCAGTAATTCTGACGGGAACGAAAGTTCAGCCACCGACGACGAGGACGACGAAGAAACTCGAAAATCCTCGAAGCGCGGCGGCGGCGGCGGCGCGCCTCGGCGGAGCGAGGCGCCGACGAAAAAGAAACAACGAAACAGACGAAAGCTACCGACGACGATCGTTTACACGGATGCACAATTATTCGGTCTCGTGAAGGACGTCATCGACAGGGGTAAGTAGTCGCTGCCCTCTCGGCTCTTTCTCCCTTCCGACGTGCCTTTCCGCGTTTTTGTGATTAATGAAAGTGTACTTGTCGCGAGAATGGCGCGTGCAACGTATCCCTCGGTTTCCTTCACGCAGGATAAATGTTCTCCTCGCCGGAGAAAAGGGAGGGCGGCGATGATTTGCAGAAACCATTACGCGGAGAAAAAAAAGAGAGAGATGACTTGTCGGAAAAACGGCTTCTCGAGTCACTGTTTGGAGTATGTCACGTTGCGGGTCCTTCCCGGGTCCTTATAAAAAAGAAACTGTTTTTAGAAGAAATTTGTCAATCTAATCCAGTCATGCGAATCCACTCGTGCTGAAAATTGCGCAGATAATAGACTTTACAATATTTTATAAAGTCGAAAGAATTACGAAGATATATTTTTTTATTCTGTAATTGTCTCTTATAAAATATAATTGGATCGCCGTTAAAGAATTGAAAAATAACGCGTAATTAATCGTAATCGCCTGACAAAACTGACTCATTAGTGGAAAGAGAACTAATATGGAAAATCTCTTGGGAAAAAAATCTTGCTTGTTTAAATCAGATATGAGAGAAGCGTTGGAATGGATCAAGGAATCCCTGCAAGATGTTCTGGATGATCGTGACGAGGAGAGCTCCGAGGGCATACCCTTGGTGCCGTTGACAGATTACTCGTCAGCCGCGATGGATTCACCGAGTTTTCAAAAGCTGCTTCGCGCCCTGGGATTTGTGCCACCAGCTGATGCCCAAGAATCTTATTGGCGTATCCCGGCGAATATGCTTACAATCACGATACAAAAACGCTACAAACTCATCGAAGATGCTTTAGCCGGCAAATTCGTCGTCGCGGGTAAGTGAATTAATTACATTATTCAGTAAGGTAAAATGTTCAAATGACAATCATTTATATCACCTTTTATAGAAACGCAACTAGAACCATCTAATTCTGATTCTGATACTGATGAAAAAGCAAACGACAGCGAAGACGACGTCGACGTATTCGAGAATGTTAAAAAATTCTTCGCGCCGAAAGGTTCGTGGAATTTTTTTCTACTTTTTTTTATTTATCAAGTAACTTTATTGAAAGAGAATATGTATCATCAAGAAAAGATTACGTTGCTTGCATAGGAAATTTTATTTGTTATTATGAAATATTTTTCAAACTGCCGAAAAATGCGAAAATAGTTTATCATTGAAATTGAAATTTACTTCCTTAGATACTACTTATCAATTCCGAAAATCTTTTTAAATTATAATTTGTTATAGCATATATTACAATATATACTAATAATTTCTCACGTGTTCTCTCATGTGTTATATAGAAATTTTATATATATATATATTCATTTCTAGAGTCATTTTTGGAATCGGAACCATCAACTTCCAAACAATTACGTACTAATATTCAGTCACCACAGAAATCCAAAACGTTATTGTTATCAGATGAAGAAAGCGATGAAGCAGAAGTTGTAGAAAAAAATGATGAAACGAAAGTCACAGAAAAAACGAATAAGGGTATGTCGCTATCAATTAATTTACTCATATTCAAGAAACGAGGAACACAGGATTTTCTCGCCCTCTGTTACTCGAACCAGTAAACTGTTGTTCCTTTAGTGCAAGTTACCGACAAGTAAATTTATCGGATTAAATTTTTAAACGTTAATGATAGCATTCATAATAATGTAAAAATTTTAGAAAACGTAGGCCAAGCGAGAAACCGAGTAAGAATGCTCGACGATTCCTCCGAATCGGAAATGGATATTGAAAACGATATTGATAAAAATGGTCAGTAACGTGTGTTGATAAAAAATAAAAATCGATTGATCCTTTTTATTGGTCACATGTTAACCATAAATTTCCGTATAATTTACAGATGACACAAAGAGAAATAGATCCGACTCATTATCCGATACAGATAAACCCTCCTCTAAAAAACGTCGGCTACTAGATAGCGACGAAGAGGTAGAGCCACTAAGGACTGATACCGAAGCAAATGGTAGTCGTGTAATAATTAGCGACGATGAAGAATCATTACACAACGAGCGGTCTAAGCGGCCTACGTCTCACGTAATAATCAGCGATGAGGAAGATTAAGAGAAACGCGGTTACATATTCTTTATTTCAAATATTCTTAAGCATTCGTAATGTTATAATCAATCATAATATATTTTTGTTTTGTACTGAAACGTATTTTTCTGAAACTGATAACTAAAAAGAAGTCAAATTAAAATATATTTTATCGATTATTCTTCTGTAATCAACATACAGTGCTCACATTGAGAATTATTGTTATGAAAAAATCAAAATGAAATTTGAAAATTTTAGTTTTGATAACATAACATTAACAATATTTATCTTAAAAAAACAAACGTATCTGTAACACAATTCTGAAAATAAAATGTGATCGCTTTAACATTGTTAGCTTCAGTTGGCAAGACATTCGGAGGACTTTTGCAGGCACTGGCTTTATCCGCGAGCGCACATACTGAAGCGCAACACACAGTTGTAAGCTTCGTCCCACATATTTCCCGTTGTGACAATACGCCCTTACGCGGACAATCGGTGGCATCAGGGATACATTTCAGGATGCCAAGAAAAACATTCCCGAAAAGCGTCCACATTTCGCCAAGTACGACGAAGAGAACATGCGAGCGCGGTGGTGCCGGCTGGTAAATGCGTCTTCGGCGTCACCGCCACTTCGACCCACTCCGGGTCATTGACTCTGATCACGTGACTCTGATCGCCCGGGCACTTCCGCGCCGGGGATCGCAGTCCCGCGTCGCGCGCCATCAACCTCCTCGATCACGTACTCCCCGGTTCGGCGGTTGGTCAATGCGGCTGACTTTACGTCTTTTGATGGGCAGGTGAGGAGTCTTGGCGAGTGTTAACGATACGTACGTGTGCATCGAGACGTAATCGCGCGACGAAAGACCAGCTCTCACCTTTTTCGATGCTCACCTTCGACGGCTAACGACGATGCGACGGACCGCGGACCCACGCGGAACGACGCGTAATATCGTCGCAAGGACTTCGCGACTCGCGGATATACGACCAGGGGATCATGCCGGGCCAAGAATCGTGAAAAACCTAGCTGCGAATCTAGTCACGAATACATTGCTACCTATGACGACAATACACAAAAGAGCCCTGGATAAATTTACATGCATAATTAATCAGATACCCTTCGATGATAGAAGACGTCAGAGAAGTTATTTTTGCTTTTCTTTCTCTCTATTTCCAATTCTTATTTTACTTTATTAATTTATCTTATTTCTTCTTACTATCCTTAGTATATTTTTATATTTTTTAAAAACTATTTTATTATTTATCATCTTATTATTTTATTTAGAGCTTCAGGTTGTGTATATATCCTCGATAAATTGAAAGAAAAACGATTATTTCCATTTTTTTATTTTTCTTCATTTTTGATTCTTATATATGTATATATTATTTTATTTTATCTTATATTTTGTTTTATCTGGCAATACTGTAATATTGATTTGTTACATTTTTTTTATTTTATCACCTATCGTGTTATTCTTTTATTTTTCTTATTTGATATATACGTAAATATACTACTGCATTTCTCTTTTCGTATTTTTATAAATCCTATAACTTATTTTATTATAAGATGATATGAATCTTAATGTAAATATTGATCTCTCGGAAAATTGAAGAATGAAGTGAATAAAATATAATATCTAGCTATGGATAACTACCCTCATTTTTGTTCGAGAGGGACGTGTTTACGATAGTAACTAGAGACGTCCGATCGTCGTACCGTCGTCATCTTCGTCGTTATAGAACGACCAGATTCCAGAAGGGTGACCACGTGCATTCTAATCTCAACTTTCGTATGCCAGGAGTGCACGACGCAGCAGGAGGTAAGTCACCGCGGCGAGTCCACTCGCGGAATCCAAGGTTAAGCTGCCTAATCGGGACACGTAACTGCTGTGATAAGATAGCATGCGGAAGAGTTAGTAGATCGCAACCAACGCGTTTCTCATGGCCTCCTGATAGAAGCGCGGGCTTCTTATACGGTTGTAGGTGGAAGGCATCCTCTCTCTTTGTCCCCACTCTCTATCGGCAATCCCTCCCACCGGTCGTCTCTCTCTCTCTC